CAGGTGTTAGTTAATTAGATTGTCCGGCTAACTGCGATTTGCAGAGATGCTGTGAAGTTTCTTAGGTTTTCATTTTTTAGGTAGACAAACCAATTTCCTTGTGAAAATTGTACATTGTCAGGTATTACTGGGTATTGCTTGCATGGCAATTCACATCACTGGAAGCAGTTTCTGGGTAGAGGCTTGTCTCTCTACCTAAGTACCTTCATTTTGCATTGGCACAAATAGTCTTTTATAAATGCATATCTGAAATACCCTTTTCAAAAACAACCGGAGAAAAGTTCCCAGGGTTCATGATCATACCTATGGAATTTCAGGTGCTTTGATTTCTTTTTGGCCAGTTTGAAAAGAAAGAAACTCTCGTAAAGTACCATATTTATTCCAATTTAAAATGACCCCCAATAATTAGATTCCATACATGGAAAATGTATACATTTGTTATAGTTTTCCATGTATAGCATATAAGTATTGGGGGGATAATCTTTAATTAATTCCCCCCTAACTCGGGGATGGGGGGCACAGGAAGTGTCCCCACTATGCCTCTGCTCCCCTCTCACTCCCTTACCCTTGCTCCTTGCTGGCAGGCTCTGTCCCTAGCCTCAGGCACTGAGCACAGTGCCAGCCCCCATAGCAGCCATACGTGCTACACACTGCTGCTAGGGGCTGGGCTCGGTGCCTCAGGCTAGAATGAGGATAAAGCCTGCCAGCAAGGAGCAAGGGTAAGGGGGGAGGAAGAGGGGCAAGTTGGGAAGCAGTCTAAATGGGGGGCGGGTGGCTTAGGATAGAGTAAATACAGTCTATTTTTTTTTTCTAATTGTATTGGAAAGGAAAAACATGACTGTGAGAGACGAACTAACATATATCTACAGCGTGCATAATAGATTACATTGATATAGATTAGCACTGTAGTGCAGCAGCTAGCAATCTTTACACACAGTGGCCTGGAACAACCCAACTCCAGCAAGCCTTGCTCTAAATGACCTGCTGAGGGCCACCCAAGACCTCAAGATATTCCAGCCTCAGCCTCATTAAGTTCAGTGTTTTTTAACTACATCACAGATTCTGGGGAAGTAGGATATATGGATTGGCTTGATGTCTTTGTTGCAGTAAATAATTCTAGTGTTGTCTTGCGACTTTGGACTTCAACTCTGACACAGTGCCTTACTGTATTTAACTGATGATGGGGAAAAGCCATGGCCTTACACAATTGTTTATTCATATTTAGCAGTTTTTACATCCCCACCACTGTTTCATTGGTCAAGGAAAAAGAAGATATAGATGAGAGAGTGTCAGATTTACGGGTATTGTTTTGTTTTGGTTTCGGCACTGAGACCGAGGGCAAGTATTTTTTCTTATGGAAAATAGACATTGATTGATGTCCAGGAACACCTATTGTTTCCACTACTAATAGGAAAATATTGTGGGCCACTATTTCTGTTGTAGAGGCCACTGGGACCCCATGGTAGATATTGTAAGTACCTCGAACAGGTCACTTATATAGATATAATGGATTATTATTCCAGTAAGTATTCAAAAATGCTGGGAGTAGAATGAAAGGGAACACAGCTATTTTTAAGGAGAGTATATTTTTTTCACCAGTTATACCAATTATATACTATCCACCCTTTCTATAACAGTGTGCTGTTGGTGTCTATAGAATTTAAGGTCAACACTAGCTAGATTCTTGAGATGTCTTGATTCAGGATTTACCAGTTGGCAATGCTGGCACTTAAACTTTATCAACAAGGGCCACTTGGAGCTATGGAACTGGGGAAAAAAATGACTTGCCCTTTCTACTCTTAAAATATACGCTTTGGGAATAACAGTAAATGTTGTGACTTTCCTTTGAAAATGCAAGAAAAACTCAAACTCTGTGTTCCAGATTTAGTGATTTATACTTCAGATGGTCTAAAGGTGAAAGTTTTACACGCTAATAATTTGCACTAAAAGAATATTTAACTCTGTTCTCTTGTGTCTTAATACTTGTTCCCTTGGTTTAATGTTAGCTGTTTGTGTGGGTGTATTTTTATACCCACGTATCCACCTATTTTCATTTTCTGTCGCCATTGAGCTAGATTTCTGTTCACAGAAATATATTAGTAAAGCTTGTTGTAATGATTACTTTTATTTTCTTAGAGCTAAGGTCCTAAGATCCATTACAATGCACACTTCAACCTATTTGCAGTTAGGGGACAGGACTAGTCTGTTACTGGCCACAGGCAAATGTCCTGCCCTTGGAAGTTTCCTCCAGTTTTATCTATCTCCCTATAGCTGACAACTCAGACCTTTTTGCTGCCGAGATATTACTGCAGAAGTTTTCAAATTTAATTTCAAATTTCTGATTGACATTTTCATTAAGTTTCCAGTTCTCAGCTGTGGCCATTGACTGTATGTATTTGGAAAGATTGTCCTTTCAACTCTGCTGTTCCTGAGATGTTCGCAGGTTTCAGGGAGTAAATTAGGTCAAAAAAGCTAGAAGTTAAAAATAAAGGATCATCTCTCTCGTTTTACCCTTTATCACTGTCTTGTTGGAGTTCTTCTGTGCCACGGTGGGTATAGTTGCTTTTACAGCCCAGTTGGGCTCTGTTGCCTTAGCTTCTCTCCTGTGGCCAAGAAAGGACCCAGGCAAGAAGCACCATCCCCTTAAGATAAAACTACAGACAAAACTAATTCTAACACAAGCAACTTTGCATTCTCCCATCTTTTTGATGCATTTTTCCAGTAGGCCGCATGTCATATAAAAAGTTGCACCAAAGTCCATGTAACATGCTTGGAGCTGAACTCTCCCTCTCTGTAGGCTGTGGATGTAGAACACTGGTAGTGGTGGTAGCTGCAGTCAAGGGCCTTCTCTGCTACCACCTCTATTACTGGCATCCCAAGGATTCTTACTACTCTAACTCAGACCAGGGTTTCCAGGGGAAATATAAATCCATCTGGCCTATGAAACTGCCATGCAGAGGAGGTGAAGCTTTTGAGAGGTCTGTCGGCTAACCCCAGCCTTTCATGGAACATCCTCACTGCACCCAAAAAGAGCCCATGCCAAGGGAAAAACGCACCCTGTGTCTTAGACAAAGAGGTTCCTGCCTGTCAAAATATTTTGGGGAACAATTACAAAGTTCAGTTTCTCTCTGCTTCTACTTTCCCTTTCATGCAGCATTATTGAGATACATTGCCACTATAAAAAAACAAACAAACATCAAACTGACACCCTAGATGCACCAGGCTTGGGCAAAATTGGTGGTTAACTTAGTGCTATATTAAACAAGTGATGCATTGGACCTATAGCATGGCCTGCACTCCATTTGAGTGTATTTGTGTTCCCAAGCAAAAAGATCCATTTTCTGTAATACAGTATTACCAGCTTATTCAAAGAAGCCCAGTTTTGTACAAATTCTATTACGAAATGTTTGATTAAAGCAAAATTGCATTGTATTCCCATGGCTACTGGGGACTGCAGGTAAAAGCCCTAGGTCTCATTACTCTGGAAAATAGTGTAGCATGAGTCCAAACAGAAAATTGAGGGCAAAGAAGATAGATATGAGTTCAAACTCCTTCTGGCTGAGAAGTCAAGGACCCGGTCTTTCCACTTTCTCTGCAAGTGCCTTAATAACTAAAGCTAAACTAAAAAAGCAGGAGGGTCCCCCTATTCCTTCAAACATCTATTTTTAGCCTGACCAATGGTAAGGGGACTTTTCACAGAGTGAAGTGCTTTCTCAGTTGGGATAGGATTGTCAAGAGAGTGTAAATGGCCATAACCATTCCTTTTTTGCATATAATCAGGAGGACGAGTTTGGTAATGTAGGTGGAAATAGGCTCTAAAATCCACATAAGTGCCACAAAGTGTTTCTTATGCCTCCTACATTTAGTCACATAACTAGCACTTAACGCTGCAATAGGGTTTGGGCTGTGTTCTTCACAGCTGTGACAGCATAAATCTCCAAAGAAAATCTAAGAAATATTGGTGCTTATTGTTAAGCATCAAGGTCTTGTCTTTGGAAAAAGAAGTGGTCTCTTTTACATAAATATGGCTAGTGATGACATGGTCACTAATATATAAATTAATCAACTGCTAGTGTTGAGCGTCTAGTCTCTAGCAAAGCCATTTTTATCAAAGGTCTTCTCCATGCTATGGTGCCCGTAAGAAAATGGAGGATATATAATACCTTGTCTTGTATGCTTATATTCAAGGGATAGTCCTGCTTCCTACCCTGGAGTCATACTGCAGTGAAAATCCCATTGTAATTGATCTATGGACCTTAGCATAAGGATGAATAGGAAAAATGATCGGTGCTTGCTTGAAAATATCCTGTCTTTGAAAAGTAAGGTCCACAGGTCAGGCCCACCCTGAAAAAAAAACTGATTGTTCAAAGATCATTGTTTTGTTAGGAGGAATTATCCATGCTTTCCATTAGAAGAAATGGGTCTTTTTAACACAGTCTGTAATATAGGAGCATAAAAGTATTATCCTGGATATGAAAGTTGCCTCAACTAGAGGAAACTTCAGGGGGAAGGATATTTGCCTGCCACCAGTGACTTGACAGCTCTGGTTCTGTTCCCAAGCAGTGAGCAGACTGAACTACCTTTATGGACCTTGTCACTCAAAAAAGGAAAATTTCAGTTAAGCACTGATAAATTGTCCTATTTTCTAATACTTATTTATCTGCCTTTAAAAATGCTTCTAACACTATTTTATAATTCACTTTTGACTGAACAGAATTGGCAGAATTAAGCAAAGACTATGGATCTGGTCCAGTGCCCCCCAAATTAATGGCAATTCAGCTCCTTTAGATAAGAGCATGTTAGTTATCTTTCTTTGATACAAATAAGCATTGTTTTCTTAGAAATAAGCACAGTTACATGGGTGTGAATGAAATTGGGATTGGGTTGTATATAATCCAATTGAAGTTAATGCTCATAAATAAAGCTGAGTAGTGTTGACATTAATATCTGATTTATACTCTGACGTTGTGTGTGTCTTGTTTTGCTTGCTCTATTCTTAGATGCACAGCCTACAGATGGAGAAAGGGAAGTATGGAATCAAATCAGTGCAGTTTTACAGGATTCTGAAAGCATGCTTACTGACCTTCAGTCTTACAAAGGAGCTGGACAAGAAATTAGAGATGTATGTTAATGTAGCTATGACAGTTCTCTTGGGGGAGGGGGGGAGTAATAGTCTACATAATTTTGTATTACGATTCTGTATGCCAGGCACAATTTCCAAACAGTTTATATGAAAAGTACCCAGTAAAACAAATGACGAATAAGTAACACCCCTGCAAATAAGTAACATTGCATTTAGAACTAAATTACAGCTTCAGATTATTCATTGATGATAGGTAGAGAGCTTTGATGTTTATTAATACATCTTAATATTAATACAATTAAGTACTTGAGGAGAAACACAATTTTGTACTTTAATGTAAAATAAAACACCATGGAAAATGTTAATGGGTATCACACATTCTAAATATTAAAAATGAAAAATAGTTATATGTACAAGACATTTGCATGACAAATCTACAATGTCAATAGAATTCTGTATATGGGTAGCTGCTTTGATTTCTGAACTGTATCTTATGATTTAATCTAATTTTAGCCTTCCTTTAACTGTGAGCTACCTCCCAAGGTAGGAAAGCCTCCAACAACCTCAAGATTATTGCTGAGGTGAAAAGTTGATTACTTAAGTCTGCTACTTTTGTAATAGCAAACAAAACTCTTGTTTACAAAAATAATGATGATGATGATTTAGCTGTCATCTTATTTTTGTTGCCAAGGGTAGCAAAACCTGCCTTCCCTAAAACCCCTACATAGATATTTAAACCTAGATGATAGTTGTAAACTGCATTTTGAATAAGAACTTAAAAAAAAAAAAACACAAAAAAATCTTGTAGGACCACACGCCATAGTTTAGTAACTAAAAGAAGTTTTAAAAATGTGTATTTGACTCTTAACTTTATTTTTCTACATAACACAAGTTTTTTTTCTTTGTTTGTCTTTTAACAATTCTTTTAAGGGTGTTTTTGGTAGTGCTGCTTATTATGTTATTCAAGAAAGTAATTTAATTTTTAACACTACCTTATACAAAATCTTATTCTATCCATTCATAGGCTCACTGAGCTTGGTTCTTTATTCTAGTGTCACACCAATGTTTACGGTAATATTGTCATTTCAGGCAATACAAAATCCAAATGATATTCAACTTCAAGAAAAAGCATGGAATTCAGTATGCCCTCTGGTTGTGAGGCTAAAGAGGTTTTATGAGTTTTCACTCAGACTAGGTAAGCTTGTATATTTGTTTTACTTCATTGTTTTTGTATGCAAACATACAAAGATTATTTGAAAAGCTAACAGTAGAGTAATAAAACATAGTGCCAGTGATTTGCCTACAATACCAGAATTTCTGTCTCTGAAGCCAGGAGACTGTCTAGGTTACATGATCTGAACTTTTTCTAATTTAAAATTTTGAAAACAATCTACCCTGAAGCCATGTACTAGCAGTGTGATTCCAGGAAGTCCTTAAGTATATCTACTATCAGGACAGGTGAGTTCCTTGATTTAAGCAGTGGTCTCTAGAAAGAGCAGTGCCCCATGTAACTCATAGCACTTTGCAGAAAGCACTATGAGTTGCAACGATTCCCCAGACTCACCAAAAGCTTGCTGTTGGGTCTGGGGGTTGGGGTTTCAGTGTCACAAAAAAGCTGTTCCTCAGTGCTTCTGCACAGTAATGACTGCTCAGTCAGCATCTTGTGTAGACACAGGCACTGCGAAGGGATTTAATAGTAGTCTTCACCTACCTGAGGGGTGGTTCCAAAGAGAATGGAGCTGTACTGTTCTCAATGATGGCAAATGACAGAACAAGGTGCAATAGTCTCAAGTTGCAGCAAGAAAGGTTTAGATTAGATATTAGGAAAAAAAATTTTGACAGGAAGATAGTTAAGCATTAAATCTGGATACCCAGAGAGGTTGTGGAATCTCTATCCTTTTAGCTTTTTAAGACCTGGCTAGACAAAGCCTTGGCTGGGATGATATAGTTGAAGCCTGTCCTGTTTTGAGCGGGCAGTTGGACTAGATGACCTCCAGAGATCCTTTCCAACCTTAATTTTCTATGATTCTATGAGTACCAGTGTCATGATACATTAAGGCTGAATTTAGTTTTGTGCTAATGAAGAAGCTGTGATTAGTAAATTATTGTTTTTTATATATGCATTTAGAAAAAGCCCTGCAGAGCTTATTGGAGTCCTTGACCTGTCCACCCTATACCCCAACTCAGCACTTGGAGCGAGAGCAGGCTTTAGCTAAGGAATTCGCAGAAATCTTACATTTTACACTCCGTTTTGATGAACTGAAGGTTAGATGTATATTTTTTAAATATTTTAAAATACATTGAGGTATTTTCTTAAAGTTTGAAATGCCGAAAACTGAGTTTCCTATTTTATTGCACTAAGATGAGAAACCCAGCAATTCAAAATGACTTCAGTTATTATAGGAGGACGATAAGTCGCAACAGAATAAACAATATGCATGTAAGTAAATGTAACTTAAATCTTTTTATTTACATTCTGAAGTTCTTAATGTGCATTCCCACTACTTGCAGTAATATATTTTTGTGTTGATTTACAACCATTAAATACTTTTTATGTGGGTAAGGTTATCATCATGTGATTCAGACCATTAATTTGGTGACACTACTTTGTGAATAACTCCATACTGATATGAGCATGAACTTAGTGTTTGTAGCTGCACATAGGTTTTGAAAGGAGGGCTATTTATTAACTATTTTTCCCTGTATTTTTATCAGCTAGATATTGAGAATGAAGTTAACAATGAAATGGCCAACAGAATGTCTCTATTTTATGCAGAAGCCACCCCAATGCTGAAAACACTCAGCAACGCCACAACCCATTTTGTATCGGAAGTAAGTGATAAGAATGTTTGCTTTGCACTTTTCTTTCTACATTTTAATTGTTTGTTAAATCAGTGTCTACAATGGACATCTTTATCCTTTCCAGAACAAAACTTTACCTATTGAAAATACAACTGACTGTTTAAGTACCATGGCTAGTGTATGCAAAGTCATGTTGGAAACACCGTAAGTAAAAGTTAAATAATGTTCTTTGTTTATGTTCAAATTCTTATGGTCATCTCTTTTAGTAGTTGCCTGGATAGTTTGGAAAATCTGATCATCAAATTAATCTTCCAGTTTACTGGGTTTTTTGTGTGTCCTGTATTTTTAGTATATAGTAATACTAAATATATTAGTATATAGGTAGCTATGTCTTCTATGTTGATCAATTTGATTAATTTTAAAAAATCAACTGCACATTTTTGCTCTACCTAAGCCTATGATTCATCTACATTTAAAGCACAAATGTAATATCATTCAAGTATGTAGGCTTAAGAGTGACTTTTAACAAGTTTAGTTTTGCACATATTCTCAATGGCTTTGTAGAGAGCAGACATATTTCTAGAGCATCCAAAATGAAGTATGAGTGAAAATCAGAATAATCTTTGATATTGCAAAGTAAATATTTCAGTCTAAGTTGTCATTTAATGGAGAACCAGTGGAAGGAATGTGTGCATTTTGTTTGTTTCTGCAAATGCTGGTAACTCATTTTATTCCTCGATTAGGAAATGTTGAAGTTAATTTTGAGATACTGAGTTGATAGATGCTAGTAGCCTGCAATAACTTCTCAGCTGTGATAGCAATATTGCTTCACAGCAGTATTTTATATATTTTAAATAGATGGGGGAGATGGAATGGCAGAACACTAAAATACTCATCAGTTGAGTGCTGTGACCGCAGCTTATAAGACTGACAATCCTCTCTTACTTTTTACTTTCCACTCTGTGTCCACCTGCTATGTCTCACTCTTACAAGACACTAGGCTCTTGAGGTTCCTTGAGTACTTTTTTCTTTTCTTCTATTTATAAGTTTATGAGGAGATGAGACTTAATCCTTGGGTGCTACAGTAAAGCAAATTTAAGTTGTTAATAACTCCATTGATGAAGATAAGGCTATAACAATAACTGATTTCTTTGTAAGCTCAGACCCCACTGTACTAAAAGGACTAGATATTAAAAAAATGCTTTGTCAAAATGAATCCCCATAATATTTCTACAAGACACTAAATGAGTATTTTATACATAAATGGGGAAATTCATTTCTCGCATTGGTTAATAATTTCAAGGAGGACAGCTGATAGTAGCAGTCTTTATTTGGCCATCCACACAGTAAGCTACCACTGAAAAGGTAAATCAAATCTTGTTTGAAGTGTCCTTTTCAACACTAACAACTTAAACAAAGAGAAGATTTTCTTTTGCTTTCCATTGTTTCCATAGTAAGGATAGGTAAAGAGCATTGTGTATCTTTTTATATTTCATCATGTGCAGCAGCTGTCAGTAAAATGTGTGGCTTGATGGAAGTGATAATCCGACTTGTGAAAGGGTGTTGGAAGAAGGAGTACTGTACCGTCAGTTGTCTCTCATGTAGTCGTTTTAAATTATCAAGGTGATAAATTAAATGATCACAACTGGTTTTGGTTTCTTCTAAGACATAACTTACACTTTTTAAACTTGTATTCTACAATGTTTCGAGGCGTTAACAGAGCACTTTGCATCATGATGAGTGGCAGTACAGTGGTAGAGGTGGAACAACCAGCTTGCAGCTGTGGCAGCTATTTTCACTTTCTCACCTTTTCCCTTTCCCCTGTTGTGCTCAACCCCAGTTGCACTGCTGCAACACTTGGATTTCCTTATGCGTGTAGAGTACTATAAGAGCAAAAAAATTCAAATGAAATATGACAGATTTCTTCACTGAAGTGTCACTCAAGCTTTGAGTTTGTTTTTGTTGTTTGTTTTTTTTTTCCCAGAGAATACAGAAGTAGGTTCACCAATGAGGAGACTCTGTTGTTCTGCATGAGAGTAATGGTGGGAGTTATTATTCTCTATGATCATGTCCATCCTGTGGGAGCTTTCTCCAAGACATCAAAGATTGATGTAAGAACAATTTTAAGAAGAAAAACTTATGTTTGACATGCTGTCAGATTAGCGAATGCTTGTTCATACTTTTCTTCAATAGAAGATTATCCTTTCATAGAAAGTAGAGTTTCGCTTCCATTGGCAACATTCAGAATTCCTTGTTGCCTGTATGCTTTTTTGTGTATTGGTTTGATCACTATTAAAATCAGCTCCTTCAGTTTATAAATTTTACTTGATACAGGTGTTCCTTTGTAGTCTTCAAGCTCATTCTGTTACTCTGACAACTGTTTGTTATATTTAAAAAGTGTGGACCATTTGCATTCTCAGTAGCAGAGACAAGAAAATGGAGGTCAATATTTAAATATCTGCTGTACTAAAAATGTCAGTTACATTGCTATTAGAGATGCTTCTTTTTTTACAAACATAACTATTTTTACCTAAAGGCAAAGTTGGTTTCCACCATTTTGTTTTTGACGATTGACATCTAATTTAACTTTTTCAAGGTTCATTTATAATGCCATATCTGCAAACAACTACCAAAAATAGAATTAATTTACTTAAGCTGTGTCCTTGCCTTAAAAACATTAAATTTGAGCCAGAATGCTGAATTTTAGGTAGTGATAACAGTACACTGAGGAACTTGAAATTAAGTGGACTTGATTTGGTAAAGTTTCCGTCTGTTTTTAGATAACGAAAATTGTATATTGTTAGTATATAATCATGTGCTTTTCCTCCCAGATGAAAGGATACATAAAAGTTTTAAAGGAACAGCCTCATGACACTGTTGAAGGCCTTCTGAATGCCCTCAGGTATGTACAAGGGTAGACTGTTGTTAAGGGAGGAGGATAAAGTCATTTTCCATTTAGGGTCTTCACTATTTTCTCATATTAAAACATCTTTCCTTTTAAAGTTTTGTAGTCTCCAGTCAGTGTGCTACTCCTTTAAAACTCTGGGTATAGTGTTTTCTGTTGCAGAGTCGCTTCCATTTTCATAATTGCAAAATCAAGCTCAAGGGCTTCAGTAATTAAAATATGCACAATGCAGCTTTGTATTTTTAGCTAATAAATATGAACTTAGGTGCCTAAGTAGTTAGGTGGGGTCTCATGGATCGCCTACTTGTACTTGGGCATCTAAATTGCGTATGTATTTAACTTCCAGTGTATGGGTCCTTTTTTTGATATCCCCTGTTCGTCTCAGTTCCTGGTTTGTAGAATAAAGATTAAATAAATTATTACCCATCTTGGCTTGTGTAAAGTTAAATCATAATATGAATAGAGAAAGGGTTGGGTTTGTGGTCCAGAGTGATCAGCCTTGGGGGGAGGGGGAGGCCTAAGTTCAGTTCCATGCTTTGCCACAGACTTGTATGACCTGAGACGAGCCTCCTAAAAGAAATACCAGCTCAATTGAAATTAATAGGAATACTGCCATTATCTTAAGTAAGACTAGGATTCCAGCACCTGCTCCTCCTCCATGAATTGGAAATATTTCCCTATTGCACAAGAATGTTTTAAAGGATTAATACATTTGAATATGAAGGGCACATACCCAGCAATAAGAGGGTACAGGATTACATGCCTGTCTTTAGACAGAAGGTAGCAACTGAGGACAAATGTTTGAAGACCTCTCAAACAGGAGGATGTGTTTTGTTTGATTGAACCATAATTTGTTGAGTTGAAATAATTAAATGTTAATAGGAACACTGGCTGTTCTCTGTAAAAGGGTTAAGATTAATCATGTAGTACTTATATTGTACCTTTTGAATTCCATTTTCAGGAGGAGCAATCTGTTTCTTCTTGGAAGCTGAGGGAAGCATGTTTAATTTAGGCACATTTAGTAAATTCAAGAATAAATATAAAACTTCAATTTACAGAGCAGCTAAAAGTTTTGAGGTTGTGAAATTCCTATTTTTATGTGCATCATGTTCACCATTCTGTTCTAACTCCTAGGTTCACTACAAGACACCTGAATGATGAGTCAACTTCAAAACAAATTCGAGCCATGCTTCAGTAGTACCCTCTGGGACAGGTGAATGTGTGTATTGATCACAGAAGATGTGTATGTTTACATAATTTAATACAGATTGATGTTAATACTTGTGTGTATTTACATAACCATTTTCTTCAGATCACTGAAATATATGAAACCTTATTCATAACCAGACTGCTTTATTATAGCACAACTATACTTTACAGGCTAGCCTTATCTCTTGACATTAAAAATATTTTTTTTACCAAGAAACTTCATCGACATCTATAACAATCTGTGTTTTATTTCAGTCCTTAAATGCATCTCTTTCACAAAAGTAAACAGTAGTAACAACAAAATGGAGGTCAAATAGGCTAATCTTTCAGTTACCCTAAAAGTGAAACCTTGAAGGTGAAATTTAAAACAAATGAAAATAAAATTGAAATATTGTACTTAATAACATGCACAAGTTCAGTTGCCAATTATTTTTAAATACAGCTTTCACTTCTCTCTTAAGACTTACAGTAATTTGAATAGTCACACACTTGTATGGAAGAGAACTTGTTTTGTTTTAGGAAGAAGGGAATGGTCATATAGTTAGTAATGGCCCTTGGCTAGCTAACTGAATCAAACACACTTCTCTTGCAGGAGAGAGCATTTTGCCTCCTTGGTTTATTAGGTAGCCCCTTCTGTTCCACAGTTGATAAATATCTTATTTCAGGCTCTTTTTATGTACATATCGAATGCAGTTCAGGAGCATAACTGGATTTTGACAACTTGTTCAAGTGTATTAGTCGAAGAGAATTAAAAATAAAAAACCTCTCCTAGCCCCACTGTTTTAAATATTAGAATATAAGGAGGAAGTGTTAATTTTGTCTATACTAGAAAAGATTTGTTAAATCTTAGCTAAATCAGCAAAGTCTCCTAATGGAGGCAAGGTTTAAGCTAGCAAAAGCCCCTTTTTTTTTTGCCGGTATAAGGATGTTGTATAGAATTACACTCCTCACTAACCTTATTGCATTTGCAAATGTTTTGAGTGTAGACCTAGCGTCATCAGAATGGGAGAGTGTGACTTCCTTTGGGACTTGAGCTGCTTTTAAATATACCATCAAGTTTCTTATAGTATTGTTTATCAACTGACATCATGTAAAACCTAGGAATTATTAGGGAAATCTAAATAAAATACAGACCTTTCATTGGATTTTGCCCATCAGGCCTGGTTACTTTCCATTGTACTTCAATTGTGACTGACATGCAAGAAGTTTTCTCTCACTTACTTAGTTCTCAGTTGACTTTTTAATTTTTTTTGATTGGGGAAAAAAAAAAAAAAATCTTTTGCTGAAACCAGCAAAGCAGCCTTTTTGGCATGTCTTCTGAGTGATCTGCAGCCACTGTAAATATTCTTGTGTGGCAATTGCATTTTCAATAATGCATGTTCTAAATTGTTTGTGTACTTAGCTTGCATTTGGCACACAAATTCAAATTTATGTACACAGATAAGGATTTGTGTATACATGTACACATGTTCCTACATCAGCTGATGTGCATTTACTGGAGTTTTCTTGCATGTACTTTTGAAAACTTGGCCCTTAATATTTTGGATGTGTAACATGGTGCACTGCTACAAAGCTATTTATCAAAGTCAGTCTCTAAGCACTGTTTAGGTTATAAACTGTCTGTGGTGGGGATTGCCTCCTCCTTTGTTTGCACGATATTTAGCAGTATGAGGTCTCAATTCTGGTTGGGGCCTGTAGTAACTAATGTAGTGTGTATATATAAACAATGCTTCTGACTGTACAGTATAACTACAGCTGCAGAGTACTCTGTCATTGGGAACCAAATCTGAAATTGGGTAAATGGGAAATGGTTTTGTTTTTCCTGGATACAGTGATCTCCCACAATGTGTTTAAAGACAACAAATTTCTAATGTTTGGGGTATTTATTGAATGTACTTGAAAAACTAGTTTCACCATTGCCACTTAAGCTTAGGAAAATCTAAATAGACTACAGAGCATTCCATTGATTTAGTAGACTTTTATTTCTTAAAATTAATACTTTCCAATATGTTTGGAAGGAAACTTAACTTTTTTATGAACCTAGAGGAGAGCTCTTTGCCCCCTGTATAATAAAAGTATGAACCTGAAAGCATTCTGCAAGTTGTCTTGTGTTCTTTGAAGCTGTAACTGCATTTGTTGGACTGATACAGTGTTTTTGTACAGAAGTTTGTTTGAAATAAAGACGTTTGGTACATTTTAAGTATGTGGATTGTCATAGTTTATACATTGGGTAATAAAAAATCTCGTACAAAGGGATCTGGCTTTCAGCTACACCCAGGATTACTAGACATAGCAAATTTATGAACATGTTTCTCTCTTTTATATGAGTTACAACATTGCACTTATCATTAATAGACCCCTGAACATCTCTGCTGTTGAAATCACTTGAGTTCAGCCTTATTTTTCACAGTGCCCTCAAAGAAGTCAGGTGTTAGCTATAATGATATATCTTTCTGTATACTGGTCACTAGACAAAAAAGGCCTCTAGATGTTACCTTACACTTACTGGATTTTAAGCTGCTTGATATTTATCACTGCTTGTATTATAAAAAAAAAAAAAATGGATGGCAATGTACTGTCAAGCATTGTAGAATCCAGAACCACTTGCCATGGAGGAAGGTTCAAATATTAATCGAATTAATTTATTTTTTAGGTGTTTCCTAGAGGCCCTCAACAAAGATCAGGCAGGATCAGAGTCCATTGCTCTAGCCACTGCATGTGCATTTTTAATTTCTCAGGTCAGTTATAGGAGTGTTTGCAACATCCAGGCTGCATGTTTAGTCTATTGAGATGACTGAATACCTCCATCTACCTCCCAACTTTTGGGCATGATTGATAGATATTTCATGATAAAAGCAGGAAT